TATTGCAATTGTAGTGCTCCCGAGCGTGATTTGGCTGAGAATAGATCACTCCACACAGAGCAGGAATCATTGCATGTCTCAGTCTTCTGGACTTCTGAATGTATAAGCTCACTGAGCCATCAGAGAGCAGGGTCTATAACCTGTGACCAAGGTGATTTTATACCCCAAGCTCATGTACCTTGGGGAGGCTGGGGAAGAGGGGCAGACTGTTATCAACCTCATAAAGTCTAGGCTGACATTAGAACACGATGCTACATCGTCGGAGGTGCCGTCCTTCAGATGGAACGTGAGACCGAGTTCCTGTCTGCCTGTTTGGTTGGACGTTGAAGGTCCTGTGGCACAACTGGAAAAGAGAAAGTGACTTTCCCTCTCCCCGTGTCCTGACCAACAACGCCCCAAGTGGGCGTCTTGTGACGTGTCGCCGTGTGCAAAGTGGCTGACTCGAACTCCCACAAAATACCCCGTCACTATACTTCCCGGTAAATTCCGTGAAGCTCTTCGAGCCATCTCGGGCGACGTGGCGAGGCGCTCGATCGAAACGCGAGGCCCGTTATTTTCCGTCCCCTTCCGAAACCGGAACCTCGCGATCAGCACCTTCTCCCCAGCTCCGCCCCCCCCCCCCCACTCACCCCCCACATCCCCACCACCCAATACGATCTTGAGAGGGGGAGGGGGGGGGGGCCATCACTTTCAATCCGATTTCCAAAAAAAACCGCGGAGCAACAAGTTCAGGAACAATTTTTCAGAGCATTATGACAGACATAATGACTTCCACCTGTTCTTGAACCCAACTTGCTGACTGGCATCTCGCCTGCACAAGTGGAAAGGTAGACAAAGGCCTCTGTCGGGCTCTGCTGTTGTACTGCTGCGAGATCCACTGAGGCATTAAATTAGTTCCACCCCACTAACCACCCTCCCCGTGCTTTGGCTCTCTCCGACCAAAGGTTTGTCACTGCTATTATTACAGCAGGGCTATGAACACACACTTAAATCAGTCCTGGCATTCCAAAATTTCAGCCCGCCCGCCCGCCCTTCCCCTCCCCACCACTGTCCCCCTCGTCTGCTGTTTATGTCTGTTCGGGACTTTTCATGCCACTCCGTTTGCTTTGATTTTGCAAAAGAATCTTTTTTTAAAAAAAACAATCACTTCTATGCGATTCTTGCGAAAATATATATCTTTCTCCTCTCTCCCCCCTCCCTCTTCCGACTCCCAACCTACAGTAACGTTAAGGAATTTTTTTTTTTTTGAATGAGGATAAATTATCCAAGTTCTCGTTTGTGGTTTACGTTAACTCCAAGGTAACTCCGTTATATAAACACTTTATATTGCTCGCATATGGAGCCTGGGCAGCTTTTTCTCCTTGAGTTTCTAACCTGGTCCCTCCAAGTCCTTGAAGCAGGTGTTACTCTTCCTACTCCTGCCTGACCCTCAGTGTGAATCCCGACCCTTCCTCGTTCACCCCTTTCTGTGTCAAGAAGCAGAGAATTTGCCATGAAAGTGCACTGTTAGCCAGAACAACAATTTAATAATCCCAAACCTTGCATTTGATATAGCGCTTATTACGTCGTTGAGACGTCTCAAAGCGCTTCACAAAATATATTGTAAAGTGAGTTGACTGGGGGCGAAACACGGCAGCCAATTACACACAGCAGTGTCTCACAAACAGTTGTGGATTGAGTGGCCTTTTTTTTCTTTGGAGGGACTATTACCACAGAAAGCGATCTGCCAATCGACTAACAATCGGGTTCCTACTTACTGCTCCGTAAATTGAGGCGTGTGGTGTAAGGAAACTTGCTTAACGTTTCGCCCGGCTCGGGAATCAACCAGGCTCCTCTCGCTTGCGTGCTGATTGCTGTAACCGCTACTCTATGGGACTACACCATCAATTTATATTAATACAATATGTATAATATACTAATGTACATGACATTAATACGTCTTTCAAACGTCTCAAAACATTTCAGAAAGCTGACTGGGAGCCTCAGCTGGGGAGAGGAGGGGAGAGGGGAGGAAAGGTAACCAAAAGCAGGTTCGGAAAGATATAACGACAATATTATTAAAAATTGGTATAGCGCCTTATCGCGTCAGAAGGATGTCTGAAAATGCTTCACAGGATTTATTGTGAAATGGCGTGACTGTGAGTACGTAGGCAAACGCGGCAGGACAGTTGCCCACATCAACGTGGCCGGGACTCTGGCAGAAACCGCCTTCCCTTTTCCAATAGCGCCGCGGGATTTTCAACATCCACCTGAACAGGCAGGCGGGACCTCGGCTTAACATCTCATCCGAAGGACGGTCTTGAGATCAGGAGGGAATAGGTGAGGCGAGGGACTCCGGGAAGGAGTTCCGGAGAGCAGGAGGTAGCATGGCTGAAATGGTAAGAGATATGAAAACTCTGTGGAACACTCTTCCTCTCTCCCTCCGCCTTGTGACCTCCTTCCCCATTTCAGGTACGCGACTGAAGACCTTCCTCCTCGACCGTGCCTAGGGTCTATTCCCCCAGCTCAGCGTCGTGCTCCATCGCTGTCGAGCGCGCCGGGGACGCTACCCTGCACGAAGGGGCGCTACGTTGAAATGCAAGTTGCTGTTTTTGAAAGGAAAAGGGTACTTGGAAGTGAATCTCTCTCAAAACCTCTTGCGTTATTATGACAAGCGCTAAAGAACACATCTGCACTGCAGCGAACAGAGTCTAAAACAAGACAGGTCGGCCAATTACATTGCTAATAGCTTGAAACTGAACGGTGTCCAGGTTAATTGTATTTTTTCCTCCCGATTAATGATCAGCAGGCACACGTTGGGGGGTGGGGGGCGGCGGGTGTTGGTGGAGAGGAAGGGGAAAAGCGCAGAAGAGGAGCATTCTTCTGGCACTTGCTGTACTCGGTGTAGGAACCTTATTTTCATTAATTCAGCATTGTTATTGGAAATTCTACACCCCGGAGCAAAAGAGGAGCAGTAACGGCTGTGTCAGGCCCGGCTCAGTCAGCAGCCTCTTTAATAATAATAATAATCCTTGCATTTGATATAGCGCTTTTCACGTCGGGAGGACGTCCCAAAGTGCTTCACAGAACACACTGTGAAGTGAATTGACTATATTTGTGGGCGAACGCAGCAGCCAAATGCGCACAGCAATGTCCCACAAACAGTCGTGGATTGAAGTGACCCAATTATTATTGTTTTTTTTTTGAGGGATTATTATTAGGCTCTGTGTGGAGTAAGGAAACTTGCCCAAGGTTTCGCCCTCTGCCTGGAATTGAACTCAGGTCTCTCACTTGCAAAGCGAGTGCTCTAACCACTGAGCTACAGGACTCCACAACGTCCTTTGCTTGTGAGGTTGTGGATTTGAGTCCCACATCGGGACCTGAACTCGCACAGTCTAAGCTGACGCTCCAATGCAGCGCTGGTGGTGGGATGTTGCATTCTCGGAGAAGCTGTCCTTCGAATGAGACGTTAAACCGAGGTCCCATCTGCCTGTTTGGGTAGAAGTTAAACATCCCGTGGTGCTATTCAATAAGATTTTTTCTCTCTCTCCTGGTCTCCCAAAATAGAAAAAAAATTGTTCGTTCGTTTCATGGCTCTTTATGGGACGTTGCTGTGTGCAATTGTGCTCACGCGTTTGCCTACAGATACACAGTCACTTCATCTCACAGTAAATCCTGTGAAACGCTTTGAGACATCCTTCCGACGTGATAAAGCGCTATATCAAGTACAAGGATTAAGCCCCACAGTGGGACTTGGAATTCATATAGTCAAAGATGATACTCGAATGCAGTCTGGGGGTGGGGGGGGAATGCTGCAATGGCCCTCGGATGAGATGTCAAACCGAGGTCCCGTCTGCCTGTTCAGGTGGACGTTAAAGATCCCGCGGTGCTATTAAAAAAAGAGAAGGGAGCTCCTCTCTCTCTCCTGGTGTCCTGGCCAATAATCCCCGAGTAAAATTGGCCTGTGGCTATTCGTGGGACACTGCTGTGGTGGGTGCTGGGTGCAAACTGGCTGCTACATCTGCTAATAAAATAACACGTTACAGTATATCCCGCAAAGCGTTTTGGGATGTCCTCCTGATGTGAAAGGCGCTGTACCAAATGCAAGGATTATTAATTATCGTTATTATCATTACTATTATCATTATGACCTACACCACCTTCAGTGTGAAAACAAAACAGCTTCCGTTTTGCCGGCATTAGGGTCCAACCTGGTCTGGTCCACAGCACGTGACCAAGTCTTGGAAAAACAAACCGCATACAAATCATCTGCAACCTCCAGCACAATGCACTTTCTCGCAAATGCCCCTAATTTTTTTCTCTCTCTCACCCCCACCCTCCCCACCAGGCTCCCCCATCAACCTCTCACTCACCTGCAAACGAAAGCAAAAAAAAAGGAATCTTGCACCTGTGTATAACATATAACTACAAACACAATAACCCAATAAATTATTTGCCAATCACAGCTTTTTTTTAAAAAAAATCTTCTTTCTCTACCAACCACCCCCCCACACCGCCCCCAACCCCCAACATACGCTCCAAGATAACTTTACATCTAAAGCTCACATGCAAACACTGTGCTTTGGGTACAAAGTCCTTCGGATGAGACGTTAAACCGAGGTCCCGTTCTCCTGTTCAGGCGGATGTTAAAGATCCCGAGGCGCTATTTGAAAAGAGAAGAGAGTTTCTCTCTCCCGCCGTCCTATCCCCCAGATGAAAATGGTCACTCCATTCTAAGGCTGTTTGTGGGATATTACGGTTGTGCAATTCTGCTGCCGTGTTTGCCTACAAATACACAATCGCTCCATTTCATGTAAATCCCCTGAAGCACTTTTGAGGCGTCCTTCCACTGTGATAAGGCGCTGACCGAAACGCAAGGATTATGATTGTAATTATAAAGCAAAGGAGAGACTTGGCGATGTGCATTTCTTCATGATTGCACCCCCCCACCCCTTCACTAAAGCCAAAGCTGTAGCCCGTCCTCCAACGATGAGCCATACCCTTACAAAAGCTCTCCTTACCCTCCGAACAGATCCATCGTGGTTGCGACCACCTCAGTGAACAGCACCACCCGTCCCAGCAGCCGTGTTCCCAGGTTTTCCCAGTAGACTTGAGGATCGAAGCCCTCCGACCGGAAGCCTTGTGTGTCTGTGAGCACGGGTAACAGGCTGGGAGTCACCTCCATTCCGAGCTCCTGGGTTTCAGTCACTTTCAACGATACCTTTTCCGACCTCAGCACATGTTGAACATCCAGTCTGTCCCGTAGCCATTTCAGGAATAAAAGTTTGATGTCCTGCGGAGGGGCAAAAAAACAAATGTCCCAAAATTTCAATTGATTAGGTCTGAAAACGTAACTGCGTTCAGTTTTGGGCATCGCATTGCAGGAAAGATATATTGGCCCTAAAACGAGTACAGTGCAGGTTCACCAGAGTGTTACCAGGGCTCAAAGGGTTAAATTACGAGGACAGGTTGCATAAACTTGGCCTCTATTCCCTTAAGTTTAGAAGGTTGATGGGTGATCTGATTGAGGCGTTTAAAGTGATAAAGAGATTCGATGAGGTAGCTGCAGAGAAACTATTTCCTCTGGTGGGGGAATCCAGAACAAGAGTAGGGCATTGCCTTAAAATTAGAGCCGGGCCATTTCGGAGTGAAATCAGTGAAGCATTTTTTCACACAAAGGCTAGTGGAAATCGGGAACTCTCTCCCACAAAAGGCTGTGGATGTTGGATCCATTCAAATTTTCAAGACTGAGGTGGACAGATGTTTGTTAGGTCCCATGTTACGATCCCATGTTACGATCCCATGTTACGATCCAGAGATGGTGTTGCATTTTTTTGATGCATCGTTTTATCACTTCATCAAAGTGTCTCAATGCAACTTCACAGGATTTTACTATATTTTGTAGGAGAACACGGCAGCTCATTTGCAAAGAGCAAAAACCCAGCAAGGGCATGGAGTGAATGGGCAAATTTATTGGCCAGGACATCAGGAGAAGCTCCCTTCTCTTAGGAGTTCAAAATCCTCGTCCTCGCTGTTCAAGGCCCCCCGTGGCCTTGCTCCTGCCTATCTGTGACCTGCTAATCCCATATCAACCTGTCCACTCACTCCACTCGGCCTGTTCCACATCCCTTGCCAGGCCCACCCCACCATCGGAAGTCGGACCTTCAGCTTCTCTGCCCCCTTCTTTTGGAACTCCATCCCACAATCTCGCCATCTCGCTCCTACCCGCACATTCGGCCACCCTCTTACTCTTACCCTCCATCCCACCGATTCTGCTTGGGCCCAAATCCCTGACTGTCCAGCGCCTTGGGACGTCCTCCCGACATGAAAGGTGCTATACAAATGTAATTTGTTGTTGCTTGTTGTTTAACATCCACCTGAACAGGCAGAAAGGGCCTCAGCTTAATGTCTCATCCTAAGGACGGCACCTCCGACAATGTAACGCTCCCCCAGTGCTGCCGTGAGCGTCAGCCTAAACCTTGGGGCAAACCCGCAACCTTATATCTCACTGGCGATAATGTTTCCAACGGAGCCAGGCTGACGAGGTGTCTCATTTGGAGAAAAAAAATATAGCCTTGAACTGCATGGGCCGAATGGCCCTATTTTTTGTACTCTCACATTCTGCAAATCTTTTTAGATCTCATCCGAGCTCCTGTCCGTGCCTGTTCAGGTGGCCGTTAAAGATCCCATGGCGCTAATCGAAAAGGGAAGGGAGTTTTGCCAAAATAAATCCCCCGAGTGCCCTAGTCAACAATCCCCCCAACTAAAAACAAAATTGGTTACTCACTTCACAGCTATTTGCAGTGTGTTATGTGTGTGTTTGCCTGTAAACTACCGTCACTACACTTAAAACATAAATACTGTGAAGCGCTTTAAGATGTCCTACAAACAGGAAAGGTGCTATTAAGGTGGAAAGGTGCTATCAAAGCATTATTGTAAGTATTTATGATAGAATTGAATAGTATCAGATCACTTTACCATATAGATCCAGAAAGAAGTTAAAAGTACAGCTGCAGACAATTCACAGTTATATGCACAATGGAGTAATTCCCAGGGTTAGGGAGGGTAATATCAGTCAGGGTTTCCTGCTCCTGGTCCCTATTCAGCACCTTCTGCTGGTAATGAGAGTGTGTGGCAGCCGGGTGAGGAGAGAGGTCAGGTTTGCGTGTCGAGTGACTTGCCAACACTCACTGGCAAAATTCAACGCATCAACAGTGGCCATTTTGGGGCAGATGAAGGCAAGAGTACAAGAGGACAATCTAAATGACTAAACTGATAAATTAATAAACTTAGTAAACAACTGTTTGTGGGACGTAGCCGTGCGCAACCAGCTGCCGCATTTCGCCCACAAAAATACACGGTCAATCCGCTTTACAATGTATTCTGTGAAGCACTTACGAGTCGTCTCAAAAACGTGATAAGGCGCTATATCAAATGCAAGGATTACTAATAACTTGCTGAAGGGCGAGTAAAAACAGTGCCAAGGCACATGTAAACTAGATGTAAATTCTAGGAGATCGTCTAGGAGGAGGGAGGGCTGAGTCGGGGATTGAACGACTGCAGAGCTCACTTTATTACCAGGATCGCTGTAAAGCCTGGCCTACTCACTCTCCATTGATGGGTGAGGTGTGAAGCAAATAAATAATAACAATAATAATAATAATAATCCTTGCATTTGATTCAGCGCCTTATCACATCTTCGAGACGTCTCAAAGCGCTTCACAGAGCCTACTGTACAGTGAATTGACTGTGTATTTTGTGGGCGAAACACGTCAGCCAATTTCGCACAGCAAGTCCCACAAACAGTCGTGGATTGAGTGGCCAAATTATTATTTAATTTTTTTTTGGAAGGATTATTACCTCCGGATAAGCGATTCCCCCAATCCAACTAATAACCGGGCTCCGACTTACTGCTGGACAAACAGAAGCGTGTGGAGTAAGGAAACTTGCCTAACGTCTCACCTGCCTGGGAATCAAACCCAAGGCCTCTCGCTTGCGAGGCGAGTGCTCTAACCACTAAGCTACAGGACTACACAACTTAATAAAAGACACTTGAGGTGCTTCGAACTCAATTAACAGGAGGACAGCTTGACCTGCGCGCCGAGACACGCCTGAGCCAAAAGCACCAGATCAAGTTGACCCCGAATTTCCGAGGCAAGACGAAACACTGAGCAGACTATTTTTGCAGCTCCCACACTTACGCCGAATGATCTGGAAGCAATCTTACCAGCAGCCTGCACTCATCAGTAAGATGTTTATTGTGACAAAGCGGCCAAGGTCCAAGGTTAAATGTCACCTTCAAACTGCTGGCATACCCGAACGAATGAATAGGTTTTTTTTTTTTGCATTTGAGAACAGTGCCTTTTTTTGTGCTGAAGAGATCCTTATTAAAAATGTTGGGAGTACCAAAAATATCTCGCGGCTTTTTTTGTGTGTTTTTTACTGTAAGCTTTTGCTTCTTCCTAAAAGCCAAATTAACAGAACTGTTCGCTAAGGGCTACCCTCACGCCGACTCCAAGCCGAAGATCCGTCCTTCGGATGAGACGTTAAACTCAGGTTCCCGCCTGTGCCCTGTTCGGGAGGACGTTAAAGATCCAACGGAGCTACTCGATAAGAGAAGGGACGTTCTCTCTCCCGGTGTTCCGGCTGGTGGCTCCCCGCTCCATGACTGTTTGTGGGCTGCTCGACTGGCTGCCACATTCGCTTGCAAAAAAATGCACAGTCATTTCACTTTACAGGGGTTATCTGTGAAGTGCTTTGAGATGTGGATGTGATAATGTTCGGTGTCAAATGCGGTCGTTACAATAATAGATGTCGTCAAGTGATATGGAGCCTATAACATTAGAAGCATCTCAAAGAGCTTCGCGGGCAACCGTTCTCAGGGTGTACTGCATCCCTGGACACATGCAAAAGCGTATAGGGAAAGGTCTCTAGTAAAGTGGCAGAACAGGCTCGAGGGGCTGAATGGCCTACTCCTGTTCCTATGCTCCCACAAACAGGCCTGAGGCAAATGACCAATTGATGCGGAGGAGTGTTAGCCAGAACTGGGAGAAACTCCCTTCTCTTCTTCGACATCTCTAACGTCCACCTGAATGGCAGATCACGAGGGTCAAACTCTGAAACGCAACCCTGGCGTCTGACAGGGTAATTGATCTTTACGCCACTCGTCATAATAAAAATTAGTCACCACTTATGAAGGCTTCATACCCCTCGCGCTAAAGAAAATAACTTAAGGAAATACCATTTTGTAATTACTTAAAACTCTAATTTTTGCGTTCAAGCTCAGACCTATTGCCCACAATTAGCATTCCTGCCGACACAACTCAAGGTTATACTTTGAGCTATATTATACTTGGCCATTTTAGTCTGTACAATACTGAACTTTTATATGTACAGTATATCTATATATATAAACACACACACAGTGATGGTTTTGAATGCACAATACATACTGAATCTTCAATGCAAAAGTGTGCGACAATTTGCCAACAAAAATAATAACTATTTTATATAATAATGATATATTATATCATTATGTATTTTGTGGACAAAACGTGGCAGACAATTGCGCACAGCAGTGTCCCACGTACAGTCGTCAATTGAGTGACCTTTATTGGGGGGGGGGGGGGAATTATTACCCCCGAAAGCGATCCGCCAATCGACTAACAACCGGGTTCCTTCTCACTGCAAGGAAACCAAAGGTGTTGGAAGTAAAGATACTTGCCTAAGTTGGGAATCAAAACCGGGTCCTCTCGCTTGCGACTAACCACTAACCACTATGCTACAGGACTCCGTTTAGTGCCTTTCACAAACGTCTCAAAGCGTTATAATGGGATATACGTAAAGTGCAGTGACTGTGTATTTTGTAGGCAAACACGGCAGGCAATTTGCGCACAGAGACATCCCCACAACAGCCATGAAGTGAACGAGCAATTTTATTTGGCCAGAGCGCCAAGAGAAACTGCCTTCTTTTTTTTGCCTCGCGCCACAGGATCTTTAATGATTTTAAATTTAAATGAAATTTAAATTAAATTTAATGAAATGTCTCGTGAGTGCTGAATTATCAGAGGTGCGCGTCCATCGACTTTTGGGCTAGAGAAAAGATCTCTTTTTTGTGCCCATTTTAGAGTTCCTTAGAATATTTGTGGAGTCCTGTAGCTCAGTGGTTAGAGCACTCGCCTCTCAAGCGAGAGACCTGGGTTTGATTCCCAGCAGGGTGAAACCTTGGGCAAGTTTCCTTACTCCACACACCTAATAATAATCCCACAAGAAAAACAAAAAATAATAAATTGGTCACTTCAATCCACGACTGTTTGTGGGGACGCTGCTGTGCGCAATTGGCTGCCGCGTTTCGCCCACAAATATACAGTCAATTCACTCTACAGTAAATTCTGTGAAACGCTTTGAGACGTCTAGAAGGCGTGAAAAGCGCTCTATCAAATGTAAGGATTATTATTATTTAACTTCCACCTGAACAGGTAGACTGGACCTTGGTTTCACATTTATTAATAATCATTATCATTACTGTATTATTATTATTATGAATCAATGAGTTAAAGCACACTCAGGTACACATTAACAGCTCATTGCCTGTAGACACGTAGCCCACTTTGCCTTCAACACAACAGGGAAAAGGGCTTTCACTTCGTTTCTAGCTATGCAGTGCCTCTTTGTGGAGAAGAAAATACAAACAGTCTGAACAGTAAGAATAAAAACCCTGGTATCCAACAGCTGGAAGGTGCATTAAAAAAATCCTTGCCTTCGACAGAAGAAAAAACTCGCATATCGTATCTTTATAAATCGTACAATTGCCTTAAGTCGTACATTTACCTGAGTCCCATTCAATTTCCTATCAAAACCACTTAGATTTCTTTGCACAACTTGTATTAATCACCTCCTAACTCGTAACACCGATCCCCTACCCTCCATTACTCCCGCGCTTACCGGCTGCTTCGAATCGCGGGAAACGTAGTCTTGATCCATCGACGCACGCGCAAAAAGAACTTACTCTTGCACGATTCAACGCAGTAATAATAAATAATAATAATCCTTGCATTTGATATAATAATAATACTAATCCTTCCATTTGATATAATAATAATAATAATCCTTCCATTTGATATAATAATAAGGAAACTTGCCCAAGGTTTCGCCCTGCCGGGAATCAAACCCAAGTCTCTCGCTTGCAAAGCGAGTGCTCTAAACAGTGAGCTACTGGACTCCACTTAGCGCAGTAAGTGCACAAGCGGTGGCAGGTGAAGACACATTGACCGGTTTTGTATACCCAATTTACTGGCTGCATTGAATTACGCAGGCGCAGTAGAGATTGATTAAATCAGATTTTATACGACTTATACAGTTTGCCTGCAAATTGAACTTCACGTAAATCTTATTAAAATGTTATTGTCCCGACTGATATGACTTGTGTTAGTTCTACTGTAGCACCCAGAAACACGCGACTCAGGAGAGACAAGAGTACTACCCACTGAGCCAGGCTGAAGCCTGCAGCTGAAATAGTCCAACAATCCTAATTAGTTTTTTTACAAAAACGGATTTTAAATGTTGCTTTTGTGATTCAATGCAAAAAAAGAAGCCACAAAGAAAACAACACATATCTGATGGCAATTTGTATCAACCCCAACCGCAATAATAATAATTCTTGTGTTTGATACAGCGCCTTTCATCCTGGAAGGACGTCTCAAAATGCTTCGCAGGATATACTGAATTTTTGATAGACTGTGAATTTTTGCAGGCAAAGGTGTCAGCCAATATGTGTACAGCAATGTCCCACAAACAGCCATAAAGTATTATTTATTATTATTATTCATACAAAACATCTCAGAGCAATTCACAGGATTTTTACTGCGAAATATATTTTGTAGTGAATGCTGGAAGGGCATTTGCGAAAATGTATTTGATATAGCGTCTTATCAAGTCGTTGAGACAACAACAACTTGCACTTATATAGCGCCCTCCGCGCAGGGTAGAGTCTCAGAGACGTCTCAAAGCGCTTCACAGAATATATTCAAAGTGAATTGACTGTGTATACTATGGGCGAAACACGGCAGCCAATTGCGCACAGCAGCGTCCCACAAACAGTCGTGGAATGAGTGACCAAATTATTATTATTGTTTTTGTGGGGGGAGGGGGGGGGGGGGATTATTACTCTGGAAAGTGATCTGCCAATCGACTAACAACCAGGTTCCCAGTTACTGCTAGGTCAACAGAGGCGTGTGGAGTAAGGAAAATTGCCGAAGGTTTTGCTCTGCCCGGGAATCAAACCCGGAACCTCTCGCTCGCGAGGCGAGCACACTCTCCGATAAGCTGCAGGACTCCACGATTTACATTCATTGTGAATATTTTCTTACATTTTGTGCCTCTTTGGACCACATTTTGCTCATATTATTTAATTAGGTTAGATTCCTACCTAAAGCAGGCCGCAACATAGCGTAGAGCACATCACTAGGCTTATCACTAGGCTTATGATCTTAAATTGGTAAAAATCAGTATTTGTCAGGTTTTTCAATTTTCTCCAAATTGAGGAACAAAAGGTCTCGATGTTACTCTTTTTTAAAACTGATTCAAACTACAAAAATGTCTGATTTCTGGGTCGCAGGGTCTTATGATCCAGATCTCGACCATTTCCCCCCCCAAAAAAGCAAAGAGCAATGATAAAATAGACGTCAGCAAGTTTCCTTACTCCACAGGCCTCAGTTTACCCAGCAGTAAGTAGGAACCCAGTTGTTAGTCGATTGGCGGCTCGCTTTCCGGTGTAATAATCCCTTAAAAAAACATAGGTCGTTCAATCCATGACTGTTTGTGGGACGCTGTTGTGCGCAATTGGCTGCTGCGTTTCGTCCACAAAAATACACAGTCGATCTGCTTCACCGTTTATTCTGTGAAGGGCTTTGAGACGTCGCAACGACGTGAGAGGGCGCTGTGTCAAAGGCCAGGATTATCACCATTACTATTATTATTATTATTGTTGTTAAAACTAACTTCAGAAAACTCCCTGACCCTGTGCACGAAAACAACAACAACAACAACAACAAGATTCCATTTTTAAAGCGCCTTTCACGTCAGGAGGACGTCCCAAGGCGCTGACCAGCAGTGGGAAATGGTCATGACCCGAGCAGGGGGGGAAATGGTCAGGGTGAGGGGAGGGAAGGGAGGGAGCGAGGAGGGGGGAAATGGTCAGGGTGAGGGAAGGGAGGGAGCAGGAGGGGGGAAATGGTCAGGGTGAGGGGAGGGAAGGGAGGGAGCGAGGAGGGGAAGAGAGTCGAGAGGGGAGCTGAAGGCACGGTCAAAGAGAAAGGTTTTGAGACCGGCCTTGAAGGAGGAAAGGGAGGAAGCGGCGAAGGCACTGGGGGATGGAGTTCCAGAGCCTGGGGGCTGAGAGGCTGAAGGCCCGACCACCGATGGTAGGGCGGTTGGGGCGGGGGACGTGGAGCAGACCGGAGCCAGAGGAACGGAGGGTACGGGCAGGTAGGTAGGGGGATAGTAGGTTGGAGAGGTAGGAGGGAGCAAGGCCGTGAATGGCCTTGTAGGTGAGGATGAGGATCTTGAAATCAATCCTCTGGGGGATGGGGAGCCAGTGGAGGCGAGCGAGGGTGGGAGTGATGTGGTCCCGAAGCCTGGTGCGGGACAGTACACGAGCTGCAGAGTTCTGAATGACCTGCAGCTTGTGGAGGGAGGTGGCGGGAAGGCCGGCGAGGAGAGAGTTCCCATAGTCCAGCCTTGAGGTGACAAAGGCGTGAACCAGGGTTTCAGCAGCGTGAGGGGTGAGGTAGTGCCGTAGTCTGGCGATGTTCCGGAGGTGATGGAAGGCGGTGCCAGTTGTGGTGCGGATGTGAGGGAGAAAGGACAGCTCAGGGTCGAACAAAACGCCGAGGTTCCTGACTGGCTTTGAGAGGTGGAGAGTGCAGCCTTGGATGCTGATGGTGTCAGCGCCTGAGGTGCGGAGGCGCTGACGTGAGCCAATCAGGAGGGCCTCGGTTTTTCGCACGTTGAGCTGAAGAAAGTTGTCTCTCGTCCAGGACTCGATGTCGGACAGGCAGCTGTCAGGACATCGGTGGTCGTGGAGTTGAGAGTAGAGGAGGAAAGGTAGAGTTGGGTGTCATCCGCATACATGTGGAAGTTAACTCCATGTCTGCGGATGATGTCACCGAGGGGGAGCATATAGAGGGTGAAGAGGAGGGGACCGAGGACAGAGCCCTGAGGGACACCACATGAGACAGTACGGGGGGTGGAGGAGAAGCCATTCGTTGAGACAAAGTGAAGACGGTGAGAAAGGTACGACCTAAACCATTCAAGGACAGTGCCTTGAAGGTTGAGGTGGGAGGACAAGCGGTGGAGTAGGACAGCGTGGTCGACCGTATCGAATGCTGCCGATAGGTCGAGGAGGACGAGGAGACAGAGGGAGCCCTGGTCACAGATGGTCAGGATATCATTGGTGACCTTGACCAGGGCAGTTTCTGTGCTATGGGCAGCACGGAAACCTGACTGAAGGGGTTCGAAAAGAGAATGGGTGGAAAGGAAAGAGCGCAGTTGGGAGGCGACAACTCTTTCCAAGACCTTGGAGAGAAAGGGGAGGTTGGAGATGGGCCGGTAGCTTGATAGCTGCGACGCATCAAGGGAGGGTTTTTTCAGGGTGGGCGTGATGATGGCAGTTTTTAATGGAATGGGGACAGAGCCAGAGGAGAGGGACAGGTTGATGATGTCAGTGATATGTGGGGCAAGAAAGTGGAGCTGGGAGATAAGGAGTGGAGTGGGGATGGGGTCAAGGGAGCAGGTGGTTGGTTTTAGGGATAGGATGAGTTCAGTGACAGAGGGTGGGGAAACGGGTACGAAGGTGTGTAGGGGAGGATGGGTAGAACAGAAAATCAAACCCACTTAAAACGAAGCACGACTGTACCTTGCAGGAGATCAGCAGGTTTGCGGGCGTTAGCTTGGGGGTTTCAGTGCATTCACAGCTGAGCTGCAGGAAGGTAAGGATTTCCCTCAGCACCTGGTATCGCAGTGCATTGCTCAGCTTGAGGGTCTGGAAGTCCTCCTGGGCCTGGATCTCCTCCCCATCTGGAGCCGTTTCCAGGTGAACCTGGAGAAAGGAAACATCAGTCGACGGACGAGTCAAGTCACTGAAATCGCTCCCTGGGCTTTCGATAAGGTGCACGACAACAACCACAACAACAAGTTACAGTCGTAAAGCGCCTTTCACGTCGGGAGGACGTCCTAAGGCGCTGGGCAGACGCCGATGATGCTTCCCCTTGATGGCGAATGCAAAGCTAGCAGGTATAATTGTAATAGAATTTGATATCGCGCCTTATCACGTCGACGAGACGTCTCAAAGCGCTTCACAGAATATGCTGAATTGCCTGTGTATTTTGTGGGGGAAACACAGCAGCCAATTTCGCACAGCAACGTCCCACAAACAGTCGTGGGTTGAGTAGCCAAATTATTATCTAATTTTTTTTTGAAAGGATTATTACCCCCGGATAAGCGATCCGCCAAGCAACTAATAAGCGGGCTCCTACGTATACTTACTGCTGGACAAACGGAAGCGTGTGGAGTAAGGAAACTTGCCTAATATTTCACCTGCTCGGGAATCAAGCCCAAGTCCCTCTCGCTTGCGAGGCAAGTATTCTAACCACTAAGCTACAGGACTACACACAGCCAAATGCCCACAGCAGTGTCCCACAACACAGTCGTGGCTGGAGAGTGATCAAATGATTTTTTCTGACCAATATACTGCAAGACTCCAATACAAGTTACGCTTACACAGCCCCATATAGTCCCCCTTTCGCATCAGAGGGACAACTTCAAAGTGTTCGAAATAGCCGGCAGCAGACCTAATAGGGAGCTTTGGAAGAACTCAACTCATGCAGAAGGTGGTGAGAGTGTGGAACAACCGACAACCACAACAAAACTGCATTTACGCAGGGCCTTTGGCATCGGGAGGACGTCCCAAGGCACTGGACGGTGAAGGAGGGGTTTGTACCTGAGCTGAGGATTGGAGTCGGGGGAGGGCGGAGGGCAAGGGAGCCGGAGGAGGGAAGATGGCACGGGCGTGGTTGAAGAGGGAGGTCTTGAGAAGGGCTTGGAAGGAGGCAAGGGAGGGGCGAGAAACGAGAGAGAGAGAGAGAGGAGACTTATTTCTTAAAAGTTAGCGTCGGGTTTCCATGCGGGTCAGTGAGAGAGCGAGCGAGAGAGAGAGAGAGACCCGAACGACCCCCCCCACCACCCCACCAAAAAAAAATTATAAAATATATAAGAGAAAAGGGATACACACACGCGTGCGTCTCTCTCACCTGACAGAGCACGGCTTCCCCTCCGTTGTCTCCGTGTGGCAGGCGAACGACGACGGGGTCCCGGCGGGGATTCTCCAGGCTCGCCCACGGCTGGGCGCCTCCCGAGTCGTCGTCGTCGCCCCCCGCCTCTGCCCCCGCCGTGGCCCGGTCAAGTGAGAACACGCGACGGCTGGCCAGGGCGTGGAGCGACAGGCTGGGGCCCCCCTGAGACCCGGTGAACCGCAGCCCCAGGACCCGCTCCTCCGGCCGGCCCCTGGCGCTCAGCCTCGCACCACCGAACGTGAAGCCCGAGCACAGCCCCAGCACCTTGCCCCCCCGCGACAGGTAGCTCATGAAGCGCGCGTGCGCCCGGGGGGCCGGGGGCCGCTCGCAGGCCACCACCAGCAGCAGCGAGTTCTCCGGCCAGGGCTCCGTCGCCACGTGCTCCTCCAGCAGCCGGTAGATCACGTAGCGTTCGGAGTCGATGAGGTCGGTCAGGAGCGACTGGACTCGGCGAAACTTGGCCGCGTTCCCTCTGCCGCCGTCGTCCTCGCCGTCGGGCCCCAGGTACACCAGCACGTTGGGAGGTGCCCGCCGGCCCCCGCCCTCGCTCCGTCGTTGCCCGGCCCCGGCCGGACCCTCCTCTCCCCGCTCCGGCCCGGCGCTCGGCGGGTTCTCCGCCGAGGCGCACCTCACCGACTCGATGGTGCTGCTCTCCAGCCCCAGGCACTCAGAGCAGCTCGCGAGGTGGAGCCCGTGGGCGTGAGACTCAAAACGCTCCTCCTCTTGCGGCCGGTGAGACTCTCGGCCCCGCTCCTCGCCGGTCTCCCCCCCGGCCTCGCCCTCGCCCCCGGGGGCCGGCTCGGACACAGAGGTCCTGCTGGGGCAGCTCCCGCGCGCAGGCTCGTTCCTTCCTCTCTCACTCGGCTCCGAGGGTTCGTTCCCAAGCGGTCCCTTGAGCTGGACGGCTGAGAGACAGCGACAGAACACTTAATAAACACACACTCGCGCGCACACACAAACCAGCGCCCTGCAGCTAAACCGTTCCCGACCAGAGATCCCCTCCGGGTGTTAGCTGGGGAATATTTTGCTTTCGAGGCTACTTAAACGTCCAACAAAAGGAGCTGGACACGCACACCCTAACCACCCAGTAGCTTAAGACCTGCCCAGTTCTCTAATACACACACACGCACACGGACACACAAACACACACACACAGTCACAACACAAGCCCACGCGTGTGCATGCACTCATGGTTAACAGGAGCTGAGTTGGAGGGTTCCCTGACACCTCCCCCCACCCCACCCACCACCCCACTGGTCTGGGTTCCCAAGTCCTGCCGATGAGCCAGGCTGGGGCTGTGCTGGCACCAGCGGCGAGTGCCCTGGAAGACTGCGGACCCCTCCTGGCTCAGGAATCGGACGACCGAGACCGTCACAGAGCCGGGGAACTCTCTTTTAGACATTCTGTGGCCAAACATGTCACCTCGGAGCCAGCTCAGCCGGCAGGAGACCGGACACAGAGAGCAGAGATTCTCCCCACGCGACTCAGGTTAATCCTGCAAGTCTCCCCCAATGGGGCGGGGAGGAGCGTAGCTCAAACGATCGGACCGGGGAACCGGCTGAGTGAAATTACGGATGCTGTCCACGTAAACAGGTGACATGAATCATCAAGAAACTTATATCTCAGCGCAGGAAACCAATACAATCTATTCCCCTCACCCAATCGCAGTCTCTCCTTCCCCCCCTTTAGAGTATCATCCCCCTGTCCTGAAAGGGGTGAATATATATTATAATAATAATAATAACAACAACAAAAACAATCTTTGCATTTGATACAGCGCCCTATCACCACGTCATTGTGACGTCTCAAAGCGCTTCACAGAATGTACTGCAAAGTGGATCGAATCACATCGTTGTGGAGCTTACTCCCCTCTGCCCCAACTTGTGCGAATGCTCTGGCTCCCCGCCCCCACTCCCCGCTCGCCCCCCCCCACACCCCCACGCCCCCAACCCACCACCCACCCCCCCACCCCCCTCCACCGGAATATAAACGAGAACGACATGAGCAAAAGTCAAGCCAAGCGAAAAAATAAGGGGAGACGCTTACAGACTATTTTTGCTGGCACCATCCCATCGTCCATCTCCAGCCTGTTCTCCATGAAGGCGATGCCGAGATTGCTGAAGTCCTCCACGCTGGCTTCAGCCATTAACATGTAGGGGTTCCCGGGTGAGCGAGCCAACGGCACGCACAGGTCCGAGTACTTTAATACCTTTCCAGAAAAACACCGCAGTCGTCTCGCAATCGGTTAGAACCAAGAGAATCTTTACGGCACGGAACGAGGCCATTCCGGTCCTTCGTGCCTGTGGAAGAACTTCCCGACTAGAACCCACTCTCCCGTCCTTTCCCCATACCGTTGCAATTTTTTTTTTTCCCTTTTCAAGTACCTATCTGATTCCCTTTTGAAAGTTACAATGGAATCTGTTTCCACCGGCCTTTCGGGCAGTGCCTTCCAGACCGTAACAGCTCTCTGCGTAAAAAAAAAAAGTCCTCCTCATCTCCCCCTCTGGTTCTTTGGCCGATTACCTTAAATCTGTGTCCCCTGGTTACTGACCCACCCGCCAGCGGAAACAGTTTCTCCCTATTTACTCTATCAAAATACAATGACACAAAATTCCTCGAGGGGCGAGGGGTGAGGGGAAACCTTCACCACATTCAACCCAACCTGGCTCAGTCTCGCCTCCGATTCAGAAGGACATGGGCTCGAGCCCCATGTCGTGGCTTGGAACAGGCTGATGTTCCAGTGCAGGGCTGGGGCGAGTGCTGCAATGTCGGAGGATCAGACGTTAAAGATTCCCACTGAACTAGGTGAAAAGAGAAGGTTTTCGCCCCGGCTTGGGCGCCCGGTTGGGCCGAGCAGGTCCAAATCGCTTGCGGATCGCGTGCTAATAAATAACGATAATCCTTGCGTTTAGTAGAACCCCTCATCACGTCGTCGAGTCATCGCGAAGGCGCTTTGCGAGGTACACTGTAAAATGAGGTGACTGTGCATTTTGTGGGCGAAACACAGCAGCTAATCGCGGGCAGCAGTGTCCCACAAACAGTCGTGGATTGAAGTGACCGATTTTATTGTCGGCCAGGACACCGGGAGAGAGAGAGAGAGAGAGAGGGAGAAACTCCCCTTTTCTTTTCGGACGATGCCATGGGATCTTTAACATGCACCTGAACCAGCAGACGGGGCTTCAGTTTAACGTCTCATCCGGAGGGCGGCACCTCCGATAGTGCAACACATCCCCCCCCCCCCCCCGGAGCTGCATTGCAGTGTCAGCTTAAGACTGTGCGATTCCGAGCCCCCACGCGGAGGCTTTGAACCCACAACCTTCTGACTCGGAGGCGAGAGTCAGGCTGACACTCCCAACAGTTTGGGAGTAACCTACAGCGTGTTGGTTAGACCGAGAGGACCTGGGTTCGATTCCCCGGGCGAAACCTTAGGCCAGTTTCCTTGCTCCGCGCACACGCCGCTGTTTACCCAGCAGTAAGTAGGAACCCGGTTGTTATAGTCAATTGGCGGATCGCTTTCCAAGGGGTAATGATCCCTCCAAAAAATACAAACAAACAGAATAATAATAATTGGGTCACTCAAGCCACGACTGTGTGTGGGACACTGCTGTGCGCAATCGCCCGCAAAAGTATACTCTGTGAAGTGCTTGGAGACGTCTCGACGACGTGATGAGGCGTGGCCAGGAATATCAGTATAATTCCTATTACAACGGGCGCAAATTACCTTTTCGGAGCGAGGCACGGAGCGGGAGTCATCCTTCTGCGAGGTTGCTTCAATCACAAAGACCACTTGCGGCCCACGTCTGGAGGCGGGAGGCTGGAGAAACGGCGACCAGCGGCTCAGGTCGTCGTAGAGCTGAAACGGCGGCACCGAAAGGAGAGAAGGAACGAGCGGACAAGTGAGCGGACGGAGCCAGCCAATAATAATAATAATAATAATAATCCTTGCATTTTGATATAGCGCTTTTCACGTCGGGAGGACGTCCCAAAGCGCTTCACAGAACACAGTGTAAAGTGAATTGACTGTATATTCGTGGGCGAACGCGGCAGCCAATTGCGCACAGCAATGTCCCACAAACAGTCGTGGATTGAAAATGACCAATTTATTATTGTTTTTGGTTTTGGAGGGATTATTATTAGGCTCTGTGTGGAGTAAGGAAACTTGCCCAAGGTTTCGCCCTCTACCTGGAATTGAACTCGGGTCTCTCACTTGCGAAGCGAGTGCTCTAATCACTGAGCTACAGGACTCCACAGCGAAGTCAAGTCACAGCGAAGAGAGAGCCACACAGATCCGCTCGCAGAGATGTTCGGCCCGTTCCTCTGCGGCAGCGTCAAAGGCTCCTCTAAACCATCCATCCTAATCCCAATCCCCGGCTCTCTCTTTCTCTTACCCTCTCTCTCTGCCTCTCCGCCCCCATCCTTTGGAACTCCATTCCAGTCCCTCCGCCTCGCCCCACCCCCCCTCCCCCTCCCTCGCCTCCTTCAAGGTCCGTCTCAAGACCCTACTCTTCGACCGCGCCTCGGGTCACCATCCTACCCCCCCACCCTCCCCGCCCCTCCACCCAGTCCGGATCCCAAACCCTCCAGCTCGGGTCCAAACTGTCCGGGGCCTTGGGACGTCCTCCTGACGTGAAAGGCAGGCGCTGTACAAATGTAATTTGTTCTTGTTGTTGTTGTTGCATTAATTGTCGAGCCTCAGTCCGTAGCGCTCTCGCTTCTGGGTCAGAAGATTGCGGGTTCAAGCCCCGCGTCAGGACCTTTGAGCTCATCCCCTCGGCTGAAGGTGGTGGTGGTGCTGGAGGAGGAGGAGGAGGAGGAGGAGGAGGAAGGGGCATTGCATTGTCGGAGATGTCGTCCTTCGGGTGAGACGTTAAACCGAGGACCCGTCCGTCTGTTCAAGCGTCCGTTAAAGACCCCACAGCCCTATCCGAAAAGGGAAAGTTTCTCTCTCTGAAAACTGGTCACTGTTTGCAGGGACTTTGCTGTGGGTATCGGGAAAGGGGTGGAGGGGCGGGCGGGTGGTGGGCAACAAGGCACTGCTCTCCCTTGCCGACAAAGCACACAGTCACTACGTTTCACGGAAAACCGTAAACCGGGCGAAACCTTCGCTCGAATCCCTTCCCGGCTTCGCTGTAACTGATAAGAGATTCCGTCCCGGACTGACTATCTCTAACCCTCGTACCAGCGAAGTGCAGAAGGATCGCTGAGAAAGCGCATTCAGAAACGAGGGTTCAGAGACGTTTCGATGCAGGCGGCGGGAAAGTCGCGCCTATTCATTTCTAACCCCCGCCTCCCCACCTCTGCTCTCTCCTCCTCCTCCCTCTCTCCTCTCCTCTCCTCTCCTCCCTCCCCCTCTTTCTCCTCCTTGAAGAGGCTCGGTAAGAAGTGAGATGATGCCACTCGCAGTGATCCTGGGGGAGAGCGAGAGAGAGAGAGAGAGAGAGAGAGTGTGTGTGGTGTGAGCCATGGAGTCTGGTGTGGGAACGACACTGGCACTTCGCTGTCAGTGCTGCAGAGATACCAGAGGAGAGCTGCCTAACCCAGCCCAGGCTCAGCGGTAGGCAACTAACTCACTGACTAGCTAACCAGCTAACTAACTCACTGACTAGCCAACCAGCTAACTAACTGACTGACTGACTAGCTAACCAGCTAACTGACTGACTAGCCAACCAGCTAACTAACTGACTGACTGACTAGCTAACCAGCTAACTGACTGACTAGCTAACCAGCTAACTGACTGACTAGCTAACCAGCTAACTGACTGACTAGCTAACCAGCTAACTGACTGACTGACTAGCTAACCAGCTAACTGACTGACTGACTGACTAGCTAACCAGCTAACTGACTGACTGACTGACTAGCTAACCAGCTAACTGACTGACTAGCTAACCAGCTAACTGACTGACTGACTAGCTAACCAGCTAACTGACTGACTAGCTAACCAGCTAACTGACTGACTGACTAGCTAACCAGCTAACTAACTGACTGACAAGCTAACCAGCTAACTGACTGACTGACTGACTGACTGACTAGCTAACCAGCTAACTGACTGACTGACCAAAAAAAACAACTAATGACTAACTAACTGACTTCACGATGAAAGCAGAAAATCTACTTTAATCTTAACTGCGAATCTTCCTTAATACTTGAGTTAAATGAATTCGATGAACCCGAGTGCTTAACTGGAGCGGAATGAATGAACTTGTGATTTGTTTATGTATATATATATATGTACATATATGTACATATAGACATATGAATGTGAAAACTAAACATTGTACGAATCGGATATTTTTATGTATTATTACTCTCTCTCTCTCTCCCCCACGTCCCAGTGTTTTGAAATTAGCAGCAACTAATTTGTTATATCAAGTGCTGTGTGTTACAGCGTCTGTCCGTCTGCCTCGAATAAATACTTATCCCAGAGCTGGTGTGATGAGAGAGCGGGGGGGGGGTGGGGTCACCTTAAGTATTCCGAGACCCCGTCCGGCGTAAAGGGCGCTACATAAATGCAAGTTGTTGTTGTTGGTAATTGGTAAACCCGTTAATTTACCCCCTTTTTTTCACTCCCCCCACTTACCAAAAAAAGGAGAAAACACTCTCTCCTCTCGATGGTGTCGTTTTCTTTCTTTCCCACCAAAGCCATCACCGAATGTGGTCGACGTTCCCTTGTTCACGAAGCGGTGGGTGAATTCTAACTGTTGTTTTGTTTGGTTTTGTTTTGTCCAGCCCTCCGGTGCTGTGGAGGCCCTGGGACTTACCGATCAGAGTCCCGGTAAAGCAGAGAGACCAGAGATCAGACAGAGACAGAGAGGTGGGTAAGAGTTTGCACAGTAACCAAAGGGTCCTCTTCATATGAACACGACTGTGAGATTTGCTGAGGCAAGTCAGTAACAGCGCTGCTGACATTTATTCCAATGATTAGCCTTCCTACAGATCTAGAGGTGATCTGTACAGTTATCTGCCTTCAGTACGGTGTACATTGTTGGAAGTAGGGAGCTCTCTGTGTGTGTAATAATGGTGTGTGTGTGTATTAATGGTATGTGTGTGTATTAATGATGCGTGTGTGTGTACTGAAAGTTGCCTATGCGCATTAAAAGGTGTGTTTGTGTGAGTGTGTGGTATTAAACGGTGTGTATGTGCATTAAACTGTGTGTATATCAAATGGTGTGTGAAAGTTGCCTGTGTGCATTAAAAGGTATGTCTATGTGTGCACGTGTATTGTGCATGTATGAAAGCGTGTGTGTGTGTGAAAGGGTTGCGTGCATCTATCGCCCCCCGATCGACTCAATTAATGCTCTTGGATGAAATCATTTAAGTGTCATAATGCTTAATTTTTTTTTAGAAACAATACATATACGTCAGAAATCTTTGTTTGCAAAAGTTCACCCGCAAAATACACAGGCAATCCACTTCACAGGATATCCTGTGAAGCACTTTGAGACGTCCGAATGAGGACTTTGAACTCACGGTCCGCACTCTGATGATGGATTGTCAGAGACGCTCTCTCTTTCGAACGAGTCATTAAAACCGAGGTCCCATCTGTGCCTGTTTAGGGGGAACGTTAGAGATCTCGTAGCGCTAGCGATTAGCCAGTCTCCTGGCCAACAATCTCCCCCCCTCAGATGAAATCTGTCACTCACCTGCAACGTGGGATATTTCTATAAGTGCGCGTTGTTACTGTGTGCAAATTGGCTGCTGCGTTCACCTTCGAAAACACGCAGCCCGGCGAAGCATTTTGAGACATGCTGCCGACGTGAAAGGTGACATATACGGATTATATTGCTGTTACGTCTTCTACCGAAGCGCTCCGAGTCGTTGCTTCGCGTGTGGGGAGGGGGGTGCTATATAAATGCAAATTGTTGATGTCAAAGGTCCCTTTGTCCGAACGTCTTCTGTCTTTTGTCCCCCCGCAGCTCAGCTGTGAGCCTGGCGAGCCCAGCAGGAGCGCTCTCCCTGGTAGGCTTTTGGGCTTCCAGCACCCGGTCAGGTGAGTTGAGAGCCCACCCTCTTCCTGGCTGGCTATCGCCTTCAATCTTGTATCACGCGTGTCAGTTCGGCTCAGCGGGCAGCGCTCTCGGTCAGAAAGGTTGTGGGTTCAAGCCCCCACTTCGGGACTCGGAATCACGCAGCCTAAGCTGACCACTCCATCGAAGCGCTGTGTTGTCGGAGATGGCACCGTCCTTCTTATGAGTCGCCAAACCGAGGCCCCCCTCTGTTCGGGTGGATATTAAAGACCCCGCCGCGAGATTCAAAAAGACAAACGGGGGTTTTTCTCTCTCTCCCGGTGTCCTGGCCAACAATTCCCCCAAATAAAATTGGTCACTCACTCCGTGACTGTTTGTGGGACATTTGTCTGTCCACGTTTTACCCGCAAAATTCAGTCACTCCGCTTTGCAGTACATCAGGTTGATTCCCAAACTTCAGCCCGGTCCGCTCCTTTGGAAACAATTGACAGTGTGTGTCAGGGAAACCGCAACCTCCTGGCTCCCTCACCTCTGAGCCGGGGGGTTGTGGTCTCAAGCCCCATCTCAGACATCGCGCATTCTCAGTTGCCACTGCGATGCCGGGGAAGCTTGGCATCATCAGAGACATCTTCAAACCACAGTTCCGCGGACCTTAAAGATCCCATTTTTGGCTGTTCGAAAAGAGAAGGGAGTTTCTCTCTCCCGATGTCCTGCCCGACAATCCCCCAAATAAACTGATCATTCACTTCAGGGCTGTTGGTGGGACTTTGCTGTGTGCAAATTGGCTGCCATGTTCGCTAGCAAAAGACACTTAAACGTGGACCTCATCTTCCTTCAGTTTCGATCCATTTGTTCCACGCACTATTTAAAGGATACTTATTTGAATCCGTAAAAAAAAACGTTTTAATATTTTTTCTTATAAGCTTTTCAGTCTATTGTAACCAGTTTGATTCTCGGTGCAGGGTGAAACTTTAGGCAGGTTTCCTTACTCCGCACGCCTCTGTTTACCTAGCAGTAAGTAGGAGCCGGTTGTTAGTCGATTGGCAGACCGCTTTCCAGGGGTAATAATCCCTTCGAAAAAAATAATAATGAATAATTTGGTCACTTAATCCACTGTGCTGCCGCATTTCACCCACAAAATATACAGTCACTGCACTTTACAGTATATTCTGTGAAGCGCTTTGAGGCGTCTCAACAACGTGATACGGCGCTGTATCAAATGCAAGGATTATTATTATTATTAAAAATCGTGTGAAGCGGTTTGAGATGACCTCCCCGATGCGAAAGGCACCGTAATCAAATGTCGGGGATTATTTTTTAAATGAATTGTAATGATTCTCAATCCACAACACTAGAGTATTACATAAAACCTTTATTCTCTGCTCCCAGCAATCCAGTACTCCCTTCCCGGAGTCCTTTTATACTTCCTGCTTCTATTTCATTGGTTCCCAGTTAATTGTCTATTTACTAAAGATATTCAACATCACATAATAATGTTGCAGTTGATGCATTTGACATGTCGCCTTATCACGTCTTCAAGACGTCTCAAAGTGTTTCACAGGATATACTGTAAAGTGAATTGACTGCATATCTTGTGGGCGAA